AAACCAAACAACCCAATTAAAAAAATGGATATAGAAATCAACAAAAATATTCACCAGAGAACAATCTTGAGGGGCCAAGAACCACATAAAGAAATGTTCAAAATCCTTCATCATCAAGGAAATTCAAATCAAACCTAACCTGAGGTTCCATCTTATACCAATCAGAATGGTGAAGATCAAAACTTCAGGTAACAGCACATGTCAATGAGGATGTGGAGAAAGAGGAACACTCCTCCATTGCTTGTGAAATGGAAAACTGGTACAACCACTCTGGAAAACATCTCAAGATACCTCTAAAATTTGAAAATAGATATACCTGAAGATACAGCTATATCACTCTTGGCATATATCCAAATGATGTCCCACAATCCCATAGGGGCACGAGTTCCATCATGTTCATAGTGGTTTTATTTGTGATATCCAGAAGTTGGAAACAACCCAGATATCCCACAATAGAATAATGGACAGAGAAAACATGGTTCATTTACATACTAGAATACTACTCAGCTATCAAGAACAAGGACAACCTGAGTTTTGCATGCAAATGTATAGAACTAGAAAGTATCATCCTGCATGAAGCAACTCAGACCCAAAAAGCCATGCATGGTATAATATAATTTTGCTAATAAGGGGGTATCAGCTAAAAAAGTACAGAATACCCAGGATACAATCATCAGACCTCAAGAAGGTTAATAAGCCAAAGGGCCAAGTGAGGATGCCTCAATCTCATGTGCAAGGGAGAAGAAGGAAATCATGGGGGAAAGGGAGACGGGAAAAGGTGAACTTGATCAGGTATTGGGGGACAGGGGGAAGCAGGACTGAATCCCTGTGGGCCAGCAGAAAGAATGGAAATAGGCATCCTCAGGAGGTAGGAGTTGGGGAGACCCTATAGAAAGTTGCAGAGACCTGGAAGTTGAGACTCTTAGGTTCCAAAGAGCAGGGCATTAGTAGAGATGCTCTACAGTGGGGAGAGGGAACTTGTAGTGTCCACTTACAGTAGAAAGACAGAACATCAAGTGTAGGAATGTGGTTGCCATCCACAGTCAAAAAACTCTGATCCAAAATTGTTTCTGGCTAAAAGAACTGCAGGGACAAAAATGGAGAAGCTGAGGGAAAGGAGGTTCAGTGACAGGCCCAAATTGGAATCCATCTCAAGGGGAGTCTAGCATGGCTGCTCTCTAAGAGGCCCAACAAGCAGCTGAAAGAGGCAGATGCAGATACTTACACCCAACCAATGGACAGAAACAGGTACCCCTGTAGTTTAAAGAGAGAAAAGCTGTGAGAAGCTGAGAGGTAGGGTGACTCCATAGGAAGACCAAAAGTCATGAATAACCTGGACCTCCAAGATCTCTCAGACATTGAGCAACCAACCAGACAGCATATACCAGCTGATATGAGGCCCCAATACATACAGAGCAGAGGACTGCCTGGTCTGGTCCCAGTGAGAGATGATACACCTAACTAAACCTGAAGAGACTTGAGGCCTAAGGGAGTGGGGAAGTCTGGTGGAGACAGTACATCCTCTTGAAGATGTGGAGAAAGTATGGGATGAAGAACATTCAGAGGGCAGACTGAGAGAGGAATAAGGAGGACTGGAATGTAAAATATATATATATATATAATTCATTCCCATAAGCAGAAAACCGAAACACAAAGGAACAAATGAACTGATATACTAAAAATTATTTCACATGCAAATGATCTGAATATTGAGATTTGATGGTAGACTAGACAGTTGATGTTTCTTTCTAGATATGATTTAAATATGTCCATTATAAATATATAGTTCATATTCAATAATAAATGACTAATTGATGTAAATTGGAAATTTTCTGTGGTTTTAAATCTAAATTTTAGCTTGTACTCATTGAAAATTCCCACATGTTGAACTCAACACATAAGAAATAAGGAAAGCCAACAAATATTTTCTCATATATTGATATTCTCTCATACCATTTACTTACATCTGAAAGTTATTATTTAGAAAATATTTTCCTTATATAAATATTATGTTTTATACATTTAATATTTAATAAATAAGTAAATGTTTTTAGTAGTAAAGTGATTAATGTTTTCTTAGCATCAATTGTTCCTCTAAGCTGATATAATTTTGTTGAAAAATTCCCACCATACTTCTTTATTATAGTTACCAAAACGGTATCATTTTATTTTTTTAAAATATTCTTCTCTTATCACTTTAGTAATGAGCCTAGCCTTTAACAGCTAAATCATCTCCTGAATGACCATGCTCTACACTGACTGGATAGCCAGGAACCAAAGACTGGACACCTCAGACACCTAGGATGCATGTCTTGTGACTTTGTCATCAGACAAGCTCTGTAGCAGCAGATGGGAGCAGGAGGAGAGACCCACAGCCAGACATTATGAGGAAAGAGTCTAAATTGGAGATTTTCATTGGGTTCCTTCCCTTGGATATCAGGGAATCCTACAGAAGGTTGCAGGGTGGTAATGTGGGAGTTCTAGGGGATTGAGTATATATCGAACCTAGTCCACTAAATCAACTAAGCAGGGCTCACATAGGCTCACAGAGACTAAAGCAGCAAACAAGAGGAAGGTATGGATCTGCCGAAGGTCTTCTGTGTATGTTATGGCTGTTAGCTTGGTGTTTTTTTGAAACTCCTAACAGTGGGAATAGGTGTATATCTGACCATTTCACCTGCTCTTGGGACTCTTTTTCTCCTATTAGGTTGCCTTGTCCAGCCTCAATGTGAGAGGAATTTGACCTTTCTTATTGTATCTTGTATTGTAATGTTTGGCTATTGTCTCTTGGAGGACTATTCTGAAGAAAAGCAGAGGGCAGGGGATCTAGGGAGAGGTGCAGTTTGAGGAAGCTGAGAGAACTGGAGGGAGAAGAAACTGTAGTCAATTTAAAAACGAAAGTTAAAAATAAACATCAGTTGTCATCAAAGAAATGCAGATCAAACAACCATGAAATTCCACCTTGCACCAACCAGAATGGCTTCTCAGATCTCTCAAGTGACAGCATACGCTGACCAGGATATAAAGAAAGAGGAACATTCCTCCATTGCTGTTGTGATTGTAAAACTTATACAACCACTCTGGAAATCAACCTAGTAATTTCTTAGAAAATTGGAAACCACTCCTGGGCATATACCTAAAAGATGCTTTACAATACCACAAGGAGACATGCTTCACTAGATATAGATATAGATATAGATATAGATATAGATATAGATATAGTTTAGATATAGATTAGATATAGATTAGATTATAGATTATAGATTATAGGTATAGATGATATAGATATAGATTAGATATAGATATATGCATTTGAAATATATAAATAACTTTATATATTAATTTACATATATATATATATATATAATATATGTACCTTGTGTATATGAACAAAGATTAATGTATGTATATATATATATATTCATGCTTCAACATGAATATACATCAGAGGCATTAGTATCAATGCTTGTTAAAGATGAATTTTATGTTTTATTTTGTTAATTAAGTTTGGATGTGTGTTTGAATATCTATAGAGACCACATAGAGGCACCAGATCTTCTGTAGCTAAGTTTACATTATACAACTAGATGTTAGAAGCTGTTCTACATGTAGATGTTCTACATTATACAACTAGATGTTCATAATAGCCAGAAGCTGGAAACAACCCAGATGTCCCTCCCCCGAAGAATGGATATAGAAAATATTCATTTACACAATGGAATGCTGTTCAACTATTAAAAACTAGAACATCATGAATTTTGCAAGCAAATTGGTGAAACTAGAAAAATCATCTTGATTGAGGTAACCTATACACAAAAGGACATTCATTCATGGTATGTACTCACTGATAAGTGGCTATTAGCCCAAAGGTACAAAATATCCATTCTGTACCCCACAGACCCTAAGAAGTTAAACAAGAATGAAGGCCCAAGTGAAGATGCTTCAATCCGACTTAGAATGTGAAACAAAATAATCATCGGAGGTAGAGGAAGGGGGCTACCTGAGTGGGAGAGTGGAGGGGAAGGGAAAGGGGGACAGGATCAGGTGTGGGCAAAACAGAAGAGAAGTACACAAGGACAGGAATATAAATGGAAACATGAAGCTGCTGGTGAAGGAGGATGAGCAGAACCTCCTTAAAGTACCAGAGACTCAGTATGGAGAAGCTCTCAGGTCTCAGTGTTGGTGAGTTTAAGCAAAATCCTCAACAGTGAGAAGGGAACCTGAAGAAACCACTTCCAATAGTTCAGTAGGACCCCAAGTGGCCAAGAGGAGGGATGCGACACCAATCCACCTTCAAAAATTTTGTCCCCAAATTGTTCCTGTCTAAAAGAAATGCAGGGACAAAAATGGAGCAGAGACTTAAGGAATTCCTGACCAGTTACTGGCCCAACATGAGATCTGTCCCATGGGCAGGCACCAAATGCTGACACTATTACTGGTGCCATGTTGTGCTTGCAGACAGGGGTCTAGCATGACTTTCGTCTGATAAACTCTACCATCAGCTGACTGAGACAGAGGCAGATATTTACAGCATAGCATTGGACAGAGGTCTGGGACCCTTATGGAAGAGTTAGGGAATGTATTGAAGGAGCTGAAGGGATAGAAACCCCATAGGAATACCAACAGTGTCAACTAACCTGGATCCCTCTGAGCTTGCCGAGACTAAGTCACAAAACCAAAGAGCATACAGGGGCTGGTTAGAGGCTCCTGGCACATATCTAGCAGGGGACACCCTTTTCTGGCATCAGAGGGAGTGGATGCACCTAATCCTTTATAGAATTGATGACTCAGGGAAGAGGGATGGAGGGGCCATCCTCTCAGAGGTGAAGTAGAGGGGGCATGGGGGAAAGAGCTCTGGGAGGGGGCTCTAGGAGGGTACATTTGGTATGTAAACAAATAAAATAATGTAATTTTTTAAAAAATTGTTTCAGTTTATTTTCACTAATGTGCAATAAGTAAATTATGTTGTCAAATAAACATTAGGGAAAATGATGCCCTACCTTTGCATTTCGGTGGTTCTGTCCAAATCCCATTTTGACACATTACTTCCATTTCCCCAAATAATTCAAAAGGTTTATTACATTCGTAACGTACTCTGTCACCAGATGGATATTTAGCCTTGGACCTTGTGACTATAGTAGCATTTGGCACATGTGGTGGATCCACACAGGAATTATCTAAAGAGCAAAATAAAGTATTATTACATATTTGATCATCTTGAGTGACTAATTATTGTATAAGATTCCAAATATATTCCTGACTTGATGAATGGATAAAGAAAATTTGCTACATTTATTTACGCACAAAAAATGAAATCATGAATGTCACAGGTAAATGATGGGTATATGTGTGTGTGTGTGTGTGTGTGTGTGTGTGTGTTTATGCAAACTTGTTTTAGGTTTTTATAATATCCCTCAAATGACCCTTAACTTTTTCTGTCCCTCTCTGATGATTCTGACTGTAGAATCAAACTCTGAACACCATCACACTATCAGCTTTACCATCAGGTTTTCAATTCAATGCTTTTATTTTTTTTTAATATAAACCAACTTGATCTCCCTTTAAAAATAATCTCTGCACCGTTTTTAATTATGCCATTCTCTGTCGCTAAAATAAATACATGTTAAAAGCCCATCCAAATACCTTTGCATACTGGCTTTCCAATCCACTTGGTATTAACACATGTCACAGTGTCAGAGCCATCCATTTGATAACGTGGTCGACATTTGAATGTAACTTGTTCTCCTGACCTATATGATTTTTTTTTCTTTTGGATCGGTATGGCATTTTCAAATGAGGGTAAAAAGTCACAATCAGTTTCTGAAAAGAAAAATAAATTATATAGGTATATGTTTTCAGAAAGTTGTAGAATATAAAATATATGAAACAATAGTTACCTTCATAGCAATCAACAAACACAGTACTTTTTTCCATTTTTACTTAGTTATATTGAATTCTTTCATATTTATGAAAATAAATAAGGTAGATACAGAATTCTAATGATCATAATTCTTGAGATTTTACATTTTGCATTCAATTTTTCTCATTCTTTTTCATGCTTACAGAGTATTTCTACTTTATGTTTTATCAAAAGCAAATTACTCATGATTATTATTTCAAAATTTTAGAGTACATGTAATTGTAGTGGCATTGCTGATAAAACTGTCGTCGTAGACTTGGGATGGGAAGATGGCATCTTTCAGTACTTCTAAACTCTGAAACGCCTTTAATCCCAGCACTTGGGAGGCAGAGGCAGGCGGATTTCTGAGTTCGAGGTCAGCCTGGTCTACAGAGTGAGTTCCAGGACAGCCTGGGCTATACAGAGAAACCCTGTCTCGAAAAACCAAAATAAATAAATAAATAAATAAATAAATAAACAATAAATAAATAAATAAAATACAAGTATAAAAGGAAAGAAACTGTCGTTGTAGTGATGAGCATGTTTAGAGGAGCCTGTGTGTTCTTGAAGTCTGAGGATTTTGATATCTCAGACTACATGAAACAAAAATAATTTAGTTGGGTTGAAAAAATAAAACTATGTTTTTACTAGTACTATATTTGCCTTCCAGCATCCAGAATTATGCAGCAAAACCTTCGTATATGCTAGAATTATCACTTTATTTCTTAATTGTGCCACATATAGATTTAATTAGATTATATATTACACAAAGAATGAAAATAAAACTGTACTTATGCATTGTGGTGGTTCAGACCACTTTCCTCCTACACATTTAATAAATGCTGGTCCATCAATTCCAAAACCTTCAGAACAATTGTATGTAACCTCTTCTCCATATTGGTAACTCTCTAGTTCATGAGAAACAGTACCAAGAGGAATTGAAGGTGGAGGTCCACAAGGAATTCCTGAAAATGACACAAATGAGAGTAACATAGTGAAAACATTCCACATTGTACTAATACAGAAATTCAACTGTATGTATCAGTTCTTTATGTAGCAGTACTGGAAGGAAATGTTAACTAGAAGAAAGATGTGCCATCATAAAGAAGGTGGGCAGTGCTTCCTAATAACACATTCTGTTGTCTTGCATCTGTTAAACAACTTCAAGGAATTAATAATTTCAGAAAATACCACATATTGTGAGATGGGTATGGGGAGCACATTATGGAAAAAAGATACTTGGGACTTTCATACTCAGTGCCAAATCAAACAATACAACTCACATGAGCAGATGAGGTCTGTAGACTATACATCATATTTAAAAACAGAAATTCAAAAATGAAACTAGATTTCAATAGAAACAGTACAATCAACTAAAGCAGCATAGATTGAATTATGCAAGTACAAATGTATGGTCAAAGTATATAAATGTGTAAGTGTGCTGATCTAAATCATTCTTTCTTCTGGTTAGGATGAGAATAGAATATTGGTAATGACTTGTTTAAACCCATTATTGAATTTTCATGTCACTCTCACCAACACAATGAGGTGGAGAGCTCCATTTTCCCATGTAACAGGTTACTACATTCTCTTCAGATATCCTGAAACCATCATCACAGACATAGCTGAATGTAGTTCCATGTTCATGGCTGCTGGACTCATTTGAATCTCTTCTTTCTTCTGAAGATCTTGGTAATTTAACAGATCCGTGTTCTATTTTAGGGGGCTGGGAACATGGAATCTTTTCTACATGAAAAAATAAATGAAACAATCAAGCAGAAGTAAAAACTTACATTTAGAAAATAAAACAGACTATTTGAATTATGTGTCCAGAATATTTACAGTATTCCCTTTCAATACATATCCTTTCACCTGAGTTCTAATGTTGTAAAGTCATAGCTACTGACCAATGCAACGTGGCAATGACTGCCACCTTCCATCTTTGCACACCATTTCTTCTGGGTCCTGAGTTAGGTAATTGTCTTGGCAAACAACAGATACTTTTTCTCCATTCAAGTATTTCACTGTGGTTTCAATCACTTGGGCATTTGGAATCTGTGGTGGAGGAGGGCAGGATGTTCTCTCTTTTCCTAGAAAACATCAAAAATCATAGTTCTTTTCTAAAGACAGTATCTTAAATTATTGAAGTAATAATGTTCATTAGATAGTAAATTATTTATGACAATGTAAAAATTGTCCATATTTATACATTTCACTTGTATAGCAATTTAATATAGTGATTCTTGTTAATATAATGATTCTTTGATATTTATCACATTTTTCTTGAAGTTTTATATTATTTTTATAAAACTTGCTTCAGTCATTTCTAGTCTTTAGAATATTTTAGCTGAATTATACACTTAAGTACATTATATTAAGATTAAGATTAAATAAATATTTCTCTAGGGCTGTCGTTGGATATTTATGGTCTAATATGTTGGATTACATTAAAAATCCTCATGAATAATTTATAAATGGAAGTTGAGTAGTGAAAGTTGTACTTGTATTTATTCAATATACTAATGACTTTTCTCATTGTTGTGATGAAATACCTGACAAAAGAATCTTAGGAATGAAGGTAAAAGGAGGAAGAAGAAAAAGAAATGAAAGAAGGAAGCAAAGAGGGGAAGAAGGAAGGAAGGAAATAAGGAAAAGAGGAAGAAAATGAAGGAAAGAAGAAATGAAGGAAAGAAGAAACAAAGGAAAGAAGGAAAGAAGAAAAGAAGAAAGAAGGAAGAGTTTAAGTTAGCTCATCATACAGGGAAGCAACGGCAGTAGAAATGTGAAGGTGCTGCTCATATTGTATCTATAGTCAGGATGCATAGTCACCTTTCCCTTTTTTTAATGCCAGAATTCCTGTCCATAAAATGTTTCACCTGCATACATAGTGGATCATTTTCCCTCAGTTAACCTAAACTAGAAATGCCCTTACAGACATGCTCAGAGTGTTTTTCCTAGGAAATTGTGGATTCTGTCAGATAGAAAATAAGTTGAGTCATCACAACTGATAATCAATATTAGATTGACTCTTGGTTAATAAGAATATGGAATATGATAAAAAGTGGTGTGTGTTATGTAATTCAAAATGTCAACTACCGTGGACATTCCATTTAACCTGAACTGGATAGAGATGTGAAAACTGATGGTTCACAATCAGGATAATGTAGTGCTGGTATTAATGCTCTTCTGACAAGTTTTCCACTAAATCACTACAAAATAATCTCTCATATTCAAATCATGAACAGGTACTTACTTAATGGTTACTAATACTTTCATTCTTTTATATATTTCTCCTTAAGTAAAGTGGAATTACTAGAAATAAATCAACACTATGTAGCAAATACATTTCTCTACATTCTTTGAACAACTAGCTAGTCATGTATAAAATAAAAACAATTACTATCTTAATACTATTTCCAAAATGATAATAGAAATAATAAAATAACAGAGACAACTACAGAACAACAGGTGCACTCCATTAACATGCACATAGTAGTTTTAATATTGGAATGGCATGGAAATATTTTCTGTGAACTTTAGTTAAAATATCAAATGAAGCAGGGCCTCCAAAACAACAGTGATAAATACAAAGAGAGAAGCAGAAATAGTAGAAGAATGACTCTGTTGCCAACTGACATGGAATGGAAGGTATCAAATAAATCAGAATTTTCCAGGTAAGGTATTTGTTAGAAGACTTAAATAAATTGTTATATTGACAGAACACACAATCATACTGAAAGACATGATGAATAATCATAGGCACAGGAATGCCATAGCACATTTGTTGTGATAAAATAATCACATGTAGTAGATCTCTAAGAATAAGGGACCATTATGACTCATAAGTAAAACCATGTTGATCAGGTTTGTGTGTTTTACACTACAGGTCACTACCAAACATGATACTGTAATTTCTAAATAAACTCCTAGATTAAAAAGTATTTTTCCAGAAATTTTGTAAGAAGATAATATCTTCATATATGGCAGGATAGCTGAACTCATGGAATCTCAAAAGAGTGGTCACTTAACAAGATATTCTTGATGAAAATAACAACTGACAAACTAGTATAGACAGGGAAAATGCTACATGACCCTTTCCCTAAATGAAGAGCTACAGGCAATTAATGGCTCTGTAATGTGGACTAATCAGTCTTCTCTCTGGATGAGAGAGCAAACAAATAAGTTATCCAATCCAATGCACTTAGTCCTAGCACTTACACATAGGTGAAACACTGACTGGAGTCATCAGTTTTATATATATACAAGTTTTATTTGTATATATTATTCATACATGTGTGTATACTTATACACATACATCAAGAAGAAGCCATAAACTGGATATGAAATTGGAGGGACACAAGAGGAGTTGAGTTGGAGTGGGAAGATGGAGATGTAGAAATAATATAAATACAGGCTTTACACATAAAATTCTAGGATAATTTTATTAAGGATATAAAGACATTACTGATATAGTTGAGAAAAGCCTAGAACACTCATGAAAAGACAGTGGCAAAAAGAGCTTACTTGCACAGTATGGTTCAGGATCCCATCTTCCATTGATGCAGATTGAGTATTTATACTCTTGTTTTTCTCTACATTTGTAACTCATGTTAGAGTTATGATTAAATTCAATCTTATTTGGGTAAATTGCCTCTATGTCAGTTGACCTCTGTGCTTTACACTTCTTCAGTTCATCCGTTGCTATATGACAATATTTCCATGAAAAGTAAACACACTTATAAGAAGTGAGTGAGCTATCACATTAAAATATTTATACAGTGGATGTAAAATGACACTACAACTTAGTACTATAAACTCTGCCAAACAAAATGTTCAGACTCTCCATGTCGAAGTGGCCTATGTTATGGTAACTAGATGTCATGTCCACTCTTTTATGTCTCAGAGACAGTTAGTGCCATGAAGAGACTTGGGTACAATGCAACTACCAAAGCATTAAAAAAAATCACTCTCTCAGCTGCTCTACCTAAGAAATGATTATAACATGACTAACACTGGTCATAGCCTTAAAAGCTGTAAAAATGTTCTAATTCATTACTCTCCCATGTTTCATAATGTTAAAATGCTAAAAATATTAAAGTAAAAAACATGTTGATAGTATAAAGGAATTATAGGAATTTTCTACTCCACATTTCCTTTTTTGATAGATGTGACACGTGAAAAAGAACACCTATAGTGCATAGAATACAAATACTTCAAAGTATTTTGTGAGAGAATTGGTGTAAGAAATTAGGTGTGTGTAGTCACCACCTGTATCCTTTATACTCCCTTCATGTGAGTCTATAAGAAATACTTTCATATTCCAGGTTATTCTATAATATAGCAATATTAAGTTATAATACTAAGTTTTTCTGGTTGTGTTATGAGTAAAGTAAGGACTATATATGGACTTTTTAATATGCTATGTATTTTAATTATTTAGTGAAAATGAGAGTCCTTTTAGAATTCAACATTTCAGTACGGGTCTTAGATAACATTTATTAATAACTTGAAATCTAGAGTTAAATGAACATAGTGCAAATGAAAGTAAATAATTTGACAAAGGTTATATAACATTTAAAATGTCAACAAGAGTGAGGCAAACACTAAAGACTCCTGAAAATTAGCCCCTTCCTAAAGATTGCTCTATAGAAAGACAAAAACTGATGTTCTGTGAAGGAAAAAGGAGAAGGTCAAGGGGCATGGTGACTATGTAGATGATTTGCTTCTGAATCTATTATTTATCAGGAGAAAGCTAAGGATATGGAGAAAATTAATGTATAGTGTCACAGTAAAAATATTTGAATCATAATATTTACTTTGTAGCCCAGGAAGACATAACTGAAGAGAGTCATATTAAGGTGGGTATAGGCAGATCAACCAAACTAAACCTCTGATATCTGAACAAGTAATAAAATAGAATAGATTATAGAAAAATAAGTATAGACTAATATTAAATAAAGAATTCAGTTTTTATATGGTATCATGTCTGATCTTTCTCTATATAAAATTAATTGTTAATCAGTTTTAAAGCAATGATGAAGATGGGTTTAACAAAATGTGTTTGTTGAGCAAAAATTCATTAGGATTAATATGCAGTAGAGGTATTCATTTATATGAGAAACTGTTATGGAGTTTGGGTGTCTGGGCATGGAGAACATATCATTAAACAACACAAGTATAGCTGCTCTTTCCAAAGGAGCTCTATGTTTCCCTAGAATTAACAAATACCCAAAACTCCAAATAGTAAAGATTAGACACCAGGGACCATGCTAAAGAATGACCAAGTTCACTCTAAAAATAATCCCTTCCATTTCAGAGAAAAGAGAATGTATACACCAAGATGCTGTCAAGTACTTATTAGGATTGAATCACCAAAAGAACATGGAGAATCAGTGTAGAATGGATATATGGGTTAATGTTTTCTATTCAATCCAATCACTGAGTTCTACAGCTGGTGACAGAGTAATGGTCCCAGCTCCAGAACATTGACTTTAGAATGGAACACATGGAATAAACACAAGTATTCTAGATGTGCTTAGGGAGGACAGTTTGTTATGGGAGTAGGAAATGGATTATTAGTAGACTTTATTTCTTAGCTTTCCAAGACCTGAGAGGAAAGTCTCAAATAGTAACAACAATGATATTTTCGAAACCTTAGTCATATCTTCTTGTGTGTTAATCTTCACATTTCAGTCACATGAAACTTTATAATTAACAACTAGATTTATCTTAAGGTAATGAATAAGCTTTTACAGGGTATATTAATGATTTCTGTTCATCTGTAGACATACATCAAATTATAAACAATGAAAGTTTGAATTAATATTATTTAAGACTAGATATTTCCTAAAAGACTACTACCTTCAAAAGTATACAGTAGTAAATATTTCTACAATACAAATACTAAACGTTATAAAGTAACTATTTTATGTATACATACTTACCAACACATTGAGGAAGCTGAGTCCACCTTCCACTAATGCAAGAAATTGACCCTGGTCCAATCATTGTGAAGGTTTCTGCACAGGTGAACTGCACTGAAACTCCATGGTAATAGGGAGGGACAGAAAACTGGACAGAGCCATGCTCAAGTTCAGGAATGTTTCCACATGTTCTCTCCTCCTCTGTAGATGTTTTACGAAAATGTATTTATGATCAAGGCACTACTTCGAATACAAAAGAGCTTTGATGTATTAATGTTTTTACTTACCAACACATACAGGAAATGTTGTCCAGTTCCCATCAACACATTGAATTTTTTTGGGTCCCTTCAGTAGAAATCTAGGTTTGCAATCATATTCCACCACATCATCATGGCTGTATTCAACTTTCTTTGTTCCCTTAATTTCCCCATTAAGGATTTCAAGAGGTTGTGCACATGATCCTACTTGACCTACTGTAGAAATACTGTATAAATATAAATGAAAATGTCCATCTTACAGGCTAAAATTTTAGCAAATGGAGAAATTTTTAATTTATTCACCATATCACTTTTTATAACACTTTTTTAAGTAAATATTATTTACACTAGATTTACATTTCATAGCTGTAATACACCTGTTGAAATAGGATTGCAAATGTATTAAAGATTGAAGAATTTTTGATAAACCTGACACCTTGAAGATACAAATCACTCAGTAATTATTGTGTTGATTATAATGATTTTCACATTGACTGGTACTATTTTATCATACAGTTATCATTTTGTAAAACAAGAAATCAGCATTATACCTAGTACCTATGTTAATTTGTTAAATACCTGGTATTGAATTAATTAAAACCTGCTTTTACAGGTTTGGACATACTCTATGAGGGAAGGCCTATGCTATAAAAACACCAGCACTAATAGTAATGTAGAGAAAATGAAAGAAATCCCTTCAGTCTCAGCCATCATGTCTGCATGTATATTTATATCACATTTAAAGGAGCATGTTAGCTTGTTATTAACCTCAAAAATATGTGGCTTTATATTAGCCACATAATACATGTCCTTTTTGATGTCAATTTCTCTGAAGATTTTATACTATAGACATATTGGATGATGGGGAATATTAAAAGATAAAAATTAAATTTCTGATCCTAATTCATCAAATGTAAAATAGATACTGACCTTTACATGTCGGGAAACTAGGGGACCATCCAAAGTGATAGCATTGCACTGAATCTGGTCCAACTCTGTGTCCTGAGCGACAAGAGAATTCCAACAAGTCTCCAACTCTGTATTTTACTTCTCTGGGAGAAACGACTAAGTTTGGGTCTAGCATGGGAATGCTGCATTCTCTTTCTTGAAAAGTAAGATAATTAGAATATACCATTAACCATTGATATGTAGGTTTATCTTTCTCATGTACATTCACAAGGAAGGTTCTGTAACCCTCCTCCTTATGAAAAACATTGCATACTAACATTAATATAGCCTCTAAATCAATATGGTAGTCTCTGAGAAATACAAGAAAATGTTCAAAACTGATTAAAAAAAATCAACTTATTTTCACTGGATCTGATTTGCTGCAGATAAATATTAATATTAAAGTAATAACTTCCCTACTCTACAACACAAAATTCTTTTACTCAGATTTGAAAATATGTCATACAATATCTAAGTCACATATTAAAATCATTTCAGTTTAATATAATGGGGAAGTAAAATATATAAAATAATTTCTAATGTATCTAAAGTTAGGAAAACATAGTTAGTATATTTTACAATTAAAAAGAGCATAAGAAGCATGTGCAAACCTCTACATTAAACCATATGTTATACTTCTAGTTCTAATTAATAATTTAATGTCAATTATACTGATGCAAATTAAGAATGTACAATATTCTCCAGCATGATAAAAATTTTCTGCAATTTTTGACATTGTAGAGTGTTACCAAAAATAAGTAAGTAAATAGATAAATAATTCCTCCCTTAAAATCTCCCTTCTTCTAATGTATTAATTAAAAGTCATAATTTTCAATTAGGGTCACTCATAAAAGATAATTGTTACTTTCAAACTGAATGGATGGTAACAGAAAGAATCAGGTAGGATGGAGTGAGAAAGTATTGGAGGAGATGACGAGAATTTGGGGCATTCGGGCAACACAGAACCTTAGCGCAATGTAAACTCCAAGGAATCTTTAAGGTAAGCCTAGTAAAGTCTCCTAGTAGTGGGGTTTAAGGAAGCCATCTTCTCTAACCAGGAAAGATTACCAGTAAAGGAATTGGGACACCAACCCATCCACAAAATCTTCAACCTACTACTTGTCCTGCCTACAACTTGTAGGAGTGGCCAACCAATGATTGATACAGTTTAAGACCCATGCAGTGAGAGAGAACCATGTCTGACACTACCTGGATGGCTTAGAAACCTAGAGGTCCCTCAATTTAAGAATGTATATAAATGTGGTATGTTTATACAATGATATATTTCTCAAGTTGTTAGAAAAATGCCATTGTGAAATTTACAGGCAAATGATGGAACTAGAAATGAAACCACCCTGAGTGAAGCAACCAGACCTGGAAAGACAAAAATGATGTGTACTCATAAGTAGTTTTTAGAGATGAAATAAATGATAATCATGCTGCAGTCCATAGACCAAGGGAGGCTATGTAAGAATGGGGGTAAGTGAGAAGGATATCAGCCTGGGAAGCAGCAATAGAATGAGTTTTGTGGGTGGATTGGCAGGAAATATGGTCCATAGTATCAACTAAGCAGGACTCATAGAGGTTACAGAGACTGGAGCTACAATCGAAGAGCCTGCATGCATCTTTACTAGGTCCTCTACATTCACACTGTTGTTTAGCTTGAGTATTTTGTGGGACTCCTAAAAGTGGGAGTGTGGGGGGGGGATTATCTCTAATTCTTTCCCTGCTCTTGAGACCATTTTCCTACTTGGTTGCTTCATCCACCCTGAAATGAGGGTTTGTGACTAGTCTTATTGCTTCTCATTTTGTCATGCTTGGTTGATAACCATGAGAAGCTTGCTCTGCTCTGAAGGGGAAGGGAAGAACAATGAGTATGGCGGAGATGGGAAGATGGAACTGAGAACTGTTGAGGGATGGGAGGCTGCAGTTGGGAGATATTGTAAGAGAGAAGAATAAATAAAACAAAAAGTAAACAAAAGTAAAGAAATCAAAAGAAAAGAAGTTTGGATTACTGGAACTCTTGATGTAAGATAATTAATAGTTTGAGTTTTGCTTTTGTGGGACAAGGATGGAGTGGTCTTATTAGCCTACAATGGTAAAGATGAACGACTGAGGGGAGTAAAACACTTTTTTTTTGTCCAGCTGTAGATTCCATAGATAATTGTAATGCACACCTTTTGGTATCCAGTTTGATACCCCTCCCCTTAGCCCTCCTCTGTGCCTCTAGCAGTAAGAATAAATTCATATAATCTAAACTTGAATTAAGCCTAAGTCTGTGCTCTTTCCTAGTGGATTTGAATGCCACAATATAACCACCTATAACTACTTTTTTATTGGTTCTGTAACTGTGTATGTGTTTTTTGCTTCTTTTACACAAATTATTTAATAAATATACCATAATACTCTGTCTTAAAGTGAAAAAAATCATTCCTTTATCTGACCCAGCTACTATATTAATACAAAGTGTGTCAGACCAGAAATCATGTCTATCCTATGTCTGCGTGTGTGTGTGTGTGTGTGTGTGTGTGTGTGTGTGTGTTTGTGTGTGGGTCCACACCTGTGCACTCCAGAAGCAGGCACTTGTAAAAGCCTGTGAACAGAATATATTCCAGGCAGAAGCTGATGGTTACAAAAGCCCTCTCAAAACAATGGACAAAGCAGACACTTAGTTCTGGATTTTAAAATGAGCACTGGACTCAGGACATGCCTACAGGACCCTAATACTTTATCAAGCATGCTACTTCCTCACTCCACTCTCCTACAAAAGGCCCTTAACCCAGCCTATTTGGGTAACTTCATGGACCTCCTATGGAGAGACCATGAGCTCACCTGGGAGAAACTATTCCCTGGATAAATCTGCTTTTTACTTTTTCTTTTCATTTTGGAACAATGTATGTTTTGTGTTTGTTTGTTTGTTTGTTTGTTTTATTAATCATTTCATTTGTTTACATTATAAATGAGATCTCCTTTCATGATTACCCCTCCACAAACCCCCATCCCATCCCCCCTCACCTCTCACCTTCCCCCTCCCTCTTTTCCCTACCCACTCACCTATTCCCCCCTCACTGCTCTAGCATTCCCCTATGTTGGGGAATCAAGGAACTGAAGGTACCTTTTACTTTTTAATTTGGCTCCATTGAATTTATTGCAGGGAAGGGGAAGAAGCAATTCACAGAGGCCATAACTGGTGAGATGTGAATTAAAGACCTGTGTGAGCTGGGAAACACAGAAATGAAATGTTTCTCTTTCTCTGAAAGACTTACTTTAGTGCACTTGCATGGAGATGTATCGATTTATTTTATTATGTTCATTGCTCTTGAACTTTGTAGTAAATACTACTTAGCCCAAGAGGACTTGAAAATAATAGTTTGGTCGATCTAAAATGAGAAATTCCCAGAACATTTGAAACAAGCCTAGATGGTGGTCAGTTCTACCGTGCATTTTTTAGGCCAGAACAGAACACTTAATATGAACATTAAGCTTCATTCAGCTTTTGGAGACTTAAATTGTGCTGACAGGTTCCTATCTGTGTGTTCACATTGTCATTAGTCTTCATTAAATTTGGAATATAACACTGTCTGATCATATCAGTTTGCACTGTTGTCTCAGTCACTCCATTTCCTCTCCTCTGATTCAAATTTCACCATCAGGCTTGGAGACATTGAAAGTCCATAGGAATTTGTTGGGTAACAGATTCCTTGAGATTGAAATACTCCATCCTTCAGAGAAGCTCCTGAAGCAGGGAGATAAACAACTCAAACTAGCTTCAGGAAGTCACTGAAACTGAGCAGATTCATCATGCCCTTCCCATGCAGAGTAAAAAAGCTACTGAGAGTCACTCAGAGAAGCAAAGCTGCAAGGAAGAAACTCAGATCACCCTAAATTCAAAGAAGGAGGAGGAGGAGGAAGAGGAGGATGAGGAGGAGGAGGAGGAGGAGGAGGAGGAGGAGGACGATGAGGAGAACGAGGACAAGGAGGAGATCACATGTACTACTTCCCAGAAGAAGCAGGATCCTACCAAGAACCTGCAAGTTGCTTAGACAGCTGAGTCACATGGAAGAGACACTCTCCAACCTACTGTGCTACCTACAAGCTATGTAATATGCCCCACTGTGTTTTTGTGAGCTGTCAGCCATAATGGGTGGGTTTTGGTGATGCAGCTGTCTTTAAGTCATTTATTCTTCTATAAGAAACTCCTCAGCCATATTTCTGAAGGCAACCTTAATAAAACTGTGAAGAAGCTAAAAAAAGAGCAGATTGCATCTTGTCCTCTAAACTCTATTTTAAGCTGCTGTCCTTGGAGAAAGCTGTTGTCCTTAGAGAAAGCTGCTGTCCTTGGAGTTATATGATCCCCACTCTTGGGCTCTGGGAAGGAGACCACCAAGCACTCCCAGCAGTGGAAAGCAGACATAACAACTGTGGTCAGCTTGCAACATAAGAAAAGCTGGTCACAATAACAAGAAAAGTCAACAAAACATGAATCGTTCTCAGGACAAGGTGCCCCTCTTTAGAAGTGCGGTCTCTCCCTGATGATATCAGTTTGAAGGTTAACATTCATTTACGAATTTATCCATCATGTAACACTAAGGCTTGAAAGCCCCACCTTAAATGTTTTCCCTATATTAAACCTAAGGTCCTAGACCCAAGTGTCATTCTTCTTCCTATTACATCAGGAAAGTTTGTGGCTGAAGTTTGAGCTTGAATAAAGACTCTCATGTGCTTGTGTTGGAGTTGAAGATCTTGGTGGTCAATTTGGGGTTTTTGTAATCTAGGCACAACAGTTTGTGGATTGGTCAGTAACCAATCCAAAGGGTCTGATGTGGCTGGTGTCTGTGTCTTTGTGTATTGTCTGTATCTGATCTTGTTTTTTGTTGGTGAAACAGCCTTGAAGAATCTGTAAAAGCAGCAAGGAGTAGCTAAGAGCAGACATGCTGGAGGGTCACAGCCATGGGAGTAAGGAAGGAGTTTCTGACTCCAGGGTAAATGAGGCATCCACCTTTCAGTTGGAGGAATTTTGGTGGAAATGTAGAGTCATAGTCAGTGATTTACCTCCCTTTGCTGCTTTCAGTTTCTGAAGTAGCAATCTGTGAATTTGTGAGTCTGAATTTTGGATTCATCTTTGTTTTCAGTCGTGGAATGGCTATTTTGTGCCTGTCTATTCTGTTTCCTGTGTTTCTTGGTCTTTACTTGTAACAGACTGTGATGGACGACATGGGACACACTGTTTCTCAACTTAAACTTATCCTGACCATTTTAAGGGAGTTAGGGCTAAGGATGACTAATTCCAACATGGAGTGGCTGGCTTTTGATGTTGGATGGTCACTGGAGGGGGACCTTTCATATACGGACGGTGTTAGCAATAGAGGATAAAGTATTTCAAAAGTCTTCTCTCTTTTCCCATGCTAATGCTTTTTTGTCAACAGGAACAGCCACAGGGTGACAAGGAACAACAGGAGCCAGCTCCAGCCCTACCACCCTTCCTGCTGGAATCATATTTAGGGTTAAAAACATCGTTCTGAGGTTAAGACAACTGACTTCTCTTCCAGAGGTCCTGAGTTCAATTCTAGCAAATGCTTGGTGAATCCTTTTTTTTCTCAGGACTGGCTCCATGTTTTATGACAGTTCACATAGGCTTATCCCCTTCCCCTCCCCTTCTGCACAGTGCAGGCACAGAGCACACTGGCATCCAGGGCCCCTAGAATGTTTAAAGACTGGGCCTCCTGGGTTCCTAACCAGGCTTTCCCTGGGTTGGCAGGTGAGTTCCCAGAGAGCAGGGCTCTACACCTGGACAGACTGGACAGGAGGAGCCCCAGGTGACCAGATGTATCCCCAACCAGTGCTTGGAACAGACTACTGGTCACCCATTTTGCTCAGTATATAGCTATCCTTCTGGCCAGAAGTGATTGTTCCCTGTCTGAACAGAAGTAGTCTCTGAGTTGTAATAAAAGGGTCTCCACTTACACTGTCTTGTCACAATCAGCCCACTGAGAAGCAATAATCACTCCCTTTCAGGGCACTCAGTGAAGCCACCTATCCAAAGGTCTTGCAGGTTCTCTTCACCACAGAGAGAAGTTCTGGTTCCTGGACTTATGGGCGAACCCAGACTGGCATTTTCACATGGTAAGGTAAGAAATATCTCCAGATTTACCACCAGGCTCTTTCACTAGGTCTCAATAATAATTTGGCCAAGGTTTAGATATGATGTTAGTCAGAAAATTGATAAAAGTCCAGCAGCATTTCTTGAATTAGGTTATGCACATATACAGCAGAGAAAACAAAGAATTACAGCAAAGTAGCCCTGACTTTCATCAATCAATTAGTCCTAGATATCAGGAAGAAGTTACAGAGGCAAGGAAAGGTTAATCGAAAAGTCATTGAGGGATCTAGTGGCAGTTGTATAGAGAATGCAGAAGAGTGCAGATTAAGACAAATAAGGAATTGAATGGAGATTTGGTTAGAGTACTTTTAGCCAACAAAGCCTTGGATCCAAAAGAAAGGAAACTCCAAGCTTCAACTTATTGCTGGAGGAGGGGTAGCTAAAAAGGTTTTGACCCAAACTCTAGGACCATGTAAATGGCCAGAGGCTTATTTATTAATGAACCTGGACGCAGGATGGCCAACTTGCCCGTGTATTATTGTATCCACAGCACTGTTGGTTAAAGATGCAGATAAATTAACTCTGGTACAGAATTTGATAGTGACTACTCCCTCCAGCTCACCCATTCAATTGAAGTGTACTCAAGCAGCCTTCTGATTGATGGCTCAGTAATGCCTACATGATTCTTTATCAGACTTTGCTAATCAACCTTGGCTGATTTATTTTCCAGCCACCTCTTTCCCTGAATCCTGTGACTCTCCTACCCTATCCTTACATGGATTTGCCATTCCATTAATGTGATGAAGTTCTGGCCCAGATACACAGTACAGGACCTGACTTGATGGACTCTTCTCTGTTGGAGGCAGAGAAGACCTGGTTTATGGACAGAAGCAGCATCATTCATGATGCTCAGGGGAGAGGAAGGGCAGCAGTGACTGCAGAAATGGAGGTAATTTGGACTAAGATTCTTCTCCAGACACTTCAGCTCAAAGGGCCAAATTAATAGCATTAACACAGGTCCTCATCACAGGAAAAGGACTAGCTATTAACAGGGACAGCTAGGAATGCATTTGCAACTGCTCATATGCATGGAGTCATTTACCAGGAATGAGGGCTCTTAACAGCAGAAGAAAGAGCTATCAAAAAAAAAAAAACAAACAAACGATGAAATTCTACAAGTCCTTAAAGCCCTCTGGTTGTAAAAAATTGGCATTCTTTGCCCAGGGCACCGAAAAGGAACAATTCCAATGGCTAGAAGTAACAATCTGGATGACCAGGCTGCTAAGGAGGTAGCCTTAAAGGAAACATCCATCTCTGGATTGGCCGGAGTGCTGGCCATGATATACCCAGGCCACAAAAAGGAATCATTAATTTAATGAAATTTTTGGGTTGTTTGCTTTTGGAAACAGAAATTAGTATGTAGCCCATTAGACTCTCAAACTTAAAACCTCTTGATCCAGGATCCTGATTGCTAGACTCATAATCTAGTGCCATATACAACTGATAAATATATTATTTTAAAAACATATTATCAGACCAGAAAGATGGCTCAGTCAGTGAAAGTACTTGCCTCTAAGCCTGGAGACCTAAGTTCCATCCCTCAGACGTATATAATGAAAAGAAAGAACTGACTCTTACAGGTTCTCTGACACCTATATGTGCAGTATACACAACTCTATCAACACACACAAGTATGCATGTACACATACAGAATAAATAAATGAATAAATAAATATAATGAAATAATAAATGCAAATATTAACATCAACGGTTTTGAAAACAGTCCTTTTTCTTAGATTACATAAAATCATAAGGAAGATTCTAGGAAATTCAATTTTTAATAACATAAACATTCATTTTTAAATGTTTTAAAAAAATATCCCAGAGAACATAGTACTCACCATAACATGAGGGTATATCAGACCATCCATAATAAGTACATGTTATAGAGCCTTTGGTACGTTTATATTCATTTTCATATCCAGCATGACATTCATAGTCTAATTTGTCATTGAGTTTAAACCACGTGCTATTATTCTTAGTTGCAGCATTCTCAAATACAGGCATATCACAAGACTCTAATGCAAAATAACAGTGACAATTTCATTTCTAATGTGTCAGTAATCAAAATAATAATTCAAAATAATGTGTCATGAGTAATTCTCATGAGAAAAAAAGCCTTTAAAGACTAGTCTATGATAACAAATTAAATACTATATTAAAGGAACCTAAGGAGACCAGCAGTAATTTATTTTCCTGAAAGTTATTAAAATAGAAGATACACTTCTATATAGCATTCACCTCCTTTCTTAAAGTTTTATAAAATTTTATTTTAGAAATAGTTTCTCAGCTCAATTTTTCATGTACTTATTGAATATTCCAAAAAAAATAGACAAGTGCAAATGTATATTTTCAGGGAAGTATAATAGCATTTTGTGAATTAAAGTCTCATATTTAGTAGTTCAAATAACTGATAAAATACAGAAAAGAAGATTAGTTGAACTTAAAACAGGTATTATATCAAAGGTTTTCTCTTTCGCAGTAAGAAAATCCAATAAAACCTTGTCAATTATAATTTAATATAAATAAATATTACATGGGAATAATTTTAATTGTATTTTCTTTAATTAAACCCTGTAAATCCACAGTAGATAAATAATTAGATATTACAAAATCAATGATTATCTTAAATCATCATATTATTTAAGGTATGTTGAATACTTCTTGAAAAATAGCACTAGGTATTTTCCTAATAAATAAAATTAGATGAACTAATTGTTAATACTAGAAAACTTCAAAAACTATGTGTCCTAAAACAAGGGAAATTTTCAAAACACCAAAACTTGCTGATACTTGGAAGCATTTCTTTCTTTCCAATATAATAATATAGAAAAAGATCTTCAAAGAGGTACATGTTCTGGCATGGACTTTAACTAAAAAATACACACTATTTTTTTTTCTTTTTGGACTTATTCCTACATTGTACAATATCAGTTCATTTGCCTTTTCAGTGCTTTAAAATATTCTATAGTTTTAAATCTAGTGAAGGAGTCTTTGATGAGCAAATCTCTGAATATGTGATAACCCTATAATATGTATTTGACACAATGAGTTAGTGTGTATTTTTTAGTAAAGTTTAAAACCTGTTTACAAATTAAAGAATATCAGACATATACAAAGAAGATAATACTAAACTTCTATGCATCATCAGTATAATGGCAACAATATAATAAACAATATACTCACTAATGCATGAGGGTTGAGGAGACCATCCATCTTGAAGGCAAGTAATTGATCCTGATGTTTCTCCAGTATTTGTTACATATCCCTGTTTACATCTATACCATGTTTCTCTATTTAGAGGATATGTAAAATCAGGTTCAGAAAAAAAGCCATTCTCAATTTCTATATCTAATTTTGAACATGTCTCTAAAAGGGTAAAAAGTAAGAAAAAGATGAGTGTACTCATATCAGCTTATGGATTTAATATTAATTATTATAATATTGTAATACTAGTATTACAATATTAAAAGATACAAAAGTAGCCATCAGTCATTGTACATGAAGACCTGAAATAACCAAAATCATTCACATCTAGACCAAAAAAAAACAATAATGAAAACAAACAACAACAAACCTTATAGGATTAAAGATACATCATCATAGTCCTCTGAGTATGTTTTTTTTCTAACAAAGTTTAGAGTACTCATAATATGTTCTAAAATATGTTGAATGTTTTTGTTCAAATGAATCCATAATCTTACACATTGTCAGAACTCTGGATAATGTCTTTCCTTTTTTACTCATTCTTTCAGCTTAAGAATAATTGCCTCTCTTAGGAACCTAGAGCTCATTTATCACGTTAGGGTTCCTGGAGTTGAACAATGATCGTAGCAAACATATCCAAAGTTACCACAGACTCCAGTACCAATAATTTCAAATGACACTGTAGCTGTATGCCTACAGTTGAATGGTTGGTCAAAGTTTAATAAAGATTAGAAAAAGTAATGAGTGTTCTTGTTGTGGTAAAAGAATACAATAAAAATATAAGGAAACAAAATAAAATAGCAAACTCAGACAATAAAGAAACATACTTCGTTGAAAATTACCAATGCTCTATAATGCAAAACAAATAATGCTAGTCTAGAATTCCAGAGTAGCAAGAGATTAATGACATTTATTACTGGGGTAGCTTTATGTAAAGGGGAATTTTCCAGAAAATAGCAAATTGAGAGCTAAAGAAGAAAAAAATGAGTATTTTACTGAATTTAAATAACAAAAATTACTTTGCTTAGAAATGTTGGAGTCACTGGACTTGTGGTACAGAAAAACAAGAACAAAGAAAACACAGAGCAGAACTCTGCATTTCTCAATGGCCATCCTCTAGTTTATCTGGTCAAATGTCAGCACCCTCAAGGACGACAGCAAGACACTCTGATGATGAGCAGGAGAATAAAAACTACCCCCCAAACTAAGGTCAAAGGTTCCCAGAACACTAACAATTCCAGATACTCAAAATGAAAGACAGGAAAGATTCATTTATCACTGTAGTCCTTTAGAAAGACACCTCCCCTGAAGAATTTTATTGATACTCTAAACACTCTAGTTGTACAAAAAAGCTCGCCAAACCAATCTGAAATAATTTCAAAGGGAAATCAATCAAACTGAGTATTCTTATTCTGCAGTTTTCTAATCCCAAGCACTAGCAGAAAGTTTTCACGGTTGATAGACCTTCATAACTGACATGCTGGATTTCAAAACACAAACACAATTAGAAGGTGTACAATCAATGCAACTTACATTAAATGCTGTAGAAGAAACAAAAGTATTTTTAACTCAACAATTAAAAGAGCCTTAGCACATGTGCTAACATCTGTTTGAAATCCAGATCCTGCCCCAACTTTATCTCTTGCCAACATAACATCATAGAGAACTGTAGCTAATGCCTTGCTTTTTCTTTGACTAATTGTGTTTATTGTCTTGCTTGTTCCTTAACTATTTGCATCTATTGCATGGCTAGACCGTCAACCTAGAACTGACTTTAATACATGCATGTAATCGAAATGGTATAAAAGCATAAAGGAGGAAGGGGATGAGATCATGGGTTCTAGGGAAGGGAAATGGGTAAAGGTGATGACATCTGAACTGTAAATAAATAAAATATCCAATTAAAAAAAACAGCAAAAAAAAAACAGATAAATATGCCTACGAAAGTAAAACAAAAAAAAATATTTTTCACAGAGTGCTGCTCCTTATTCAAGGGACTGTGGTGGAGGTAAATGAAAATACATTTGTGGCACAATTTTATTTCTCCAACAAACAATTCCAGAAACTCATTTGGTAATGTTCACCCATTGCATCCAAGTATGAATAGGTAAGCTACACACACAAATCTGAGGGATGACAACAAAAAGCTGGCTGCATTCAACATTCACATGGGTAAGGAACTGGGACTCATGTCAGTTACCTGAGACTCTCTTAAGACATTAGAAAAAAGTAGAAAATAAAAACAAAGTGAGTAGAATTGGGAGTGGAAATCATGTCAATGAAAATAATGTAGCAGAATTATCTCTACACCTTGATCCTACAAAAGATCCCTAAATAATCAACTTTTAAGCAGGTGAAGCAAAGAAACAGGAGAGAAAAAGGTGAGATGCCACAAATGATCATTATCAGCAATGATGGGAGTTGTATTATTATACCTTTTTACAAATTTTAAAAATAATTAGAGAATACTATGGACATTCATGACAATTAATTTGACAAGTTAAAATTAATAGAATTAGTAAAATCCATAGACTATACCACTCACCCAAGAAAAAAAGATAACATGAATATAATCACTACAGTTTTAAACATGTATTAGCTATCCACCTACTGAAGCGGCATGCAACAGAACAATGCCACAAGAAACTAAGGGTCTAACTAAATTCACAGATATATCATAGATATTGGTAGAAGAAAATTAATTATGCTGAATCAATTTTCTCAAAATTGATCTCAGAAAAGCATTTTTTATACATGAGTAATGCATATATGACTTCAGAGTGGTTGTGAAAGTATACCCAAGGCCTACACAAGTATAAGCTAGACTAATTCCAGCATGGAGCATGGGTGGGCACAGAGTCACATTCCAAGTAGCTGCTGGCAAAGGGAGAATCAGTTTTCTTTATAAGTATGGCAGCTGGTAAGTCAGCCACTCTCCAATGTAACACTACACATGCAAAAAATATAAATACAGCACAAATTGAGTATCATGGCTTAACTTAAGAAGCAAAAAAACTTAAGAAGAAAAAAAAACTGAGAACAGGAAGTTGGTTGGTTATTAAAGGCAGCATATACCTGGAATTAGTTGAAAATGGGTGAATATGTTCAACACATATTGTTAAAATATTTGGAAAACTATAAGAAATAAAATTCTTAAAAGTTAAAATTATCTTTAAGTGTCCTAAATACACAAATTAACTCACGAATATTTACTTGGGCCTCATTGAAGGTTAAAATCTTGGAAATAACTATTAGAAACTCAGAAAATGAGCCATGTCATGCAAGGAAATATTCACAAATTTGATAAGGAATTTTTATTCAAGATATATAAAGGCTTATAAATAAATTATGAAAGAAAATATCTAACTAAAGAGAGAATTTTCAGTGATTGCTATTACTATTACACTAGGAAGATAAATTTAAAATACAAGGATATACGTTCCTGCACTGATGTGTTTTGAATCTAAAACATGACACTTCTGAGTCTTAAAGTAAATCAATTCAATTGTAAGCCCTGCTCTTCATTGCTGTTACGGCTGCAAATTATTCCAACCACCCTTATAAACCAGTTGCAAGATTACTACAGGCTGAATTATGCACAATGTCATAATACTTACTAATTTCAGTTTTATAACTTTTTCTAAGAAATTTTTTGTAAATTTTAATTTATATAAATAGTTCACAATTTTCCCCATTTTAAAATAACCAAAATATTCCTTTAAATTTTATAAATAGCTTAATTGTTGTAGATCTATATAAATCCATCATTTAAATAAAACTGAGTTACTATAGAAGCCATACTATAGAAAAATGATATATACATGCTACTGAAAGTAATATAATTAAGTTTAAAAATCGTGATGCTGCCATGTTCCCACAATGATAAAAATGGATGAACCTTTGAACCTGTAATCCAGCCTCAATTAAATGTTGTCCTTATAAGAGTTGCCTTGCTCGCCAGGCGGGGGTGGCGCACGCCTTTAATCCCAGCACTTGGGAGGCAGAGGCAGGCGGATTTCTGAGTTCGACGCCAGCCTGGTCTACAGAGTGAGTTCCAGGACAGCCAGGGCTATACAGAGAAACCCTGTCTCGGTAAACCAAAAAAAAAAAAAAAAAAAAAAAAAGAGTTGCCTTGCTCAAGGTATCTCTTCACAGCAGTAAAACCCTAACTAAGACAATAGCCCAGAAAATAATTTCTAATTTCGACAAAAGCATAGAAGAAATTTTTTCTTATCCAAAAAAAGCAATTGCTTATAAGGATACATGAAGCACACAAAAACAAAAAATAGATGGGGCCAGAAGAGAAAGATCACTCAAAACGCAATAATCAAAATACTAAGCATTCAGAGCAGAGAAAGAATATTGAAACCTACAAGGAAAACAGAACAAGTAAGATAGACATATTAAAATTACATCTGACTTCTCAAAGGAAAATCTAAAGAAAGGGTTAAGCAGATGTCTTTCAGACTCTAAAAATATCTCAGATGCCACTCCAGAATACTATATTCAGCAAAACTTTTAATCAAGGAAAAGATTCACGAAAATATTGCTTCAATTTTTAACATCTATGCTCCCAAACAATGACACCTACAAAGTCTTATTTCATTCTGTTATGGTATGTTCAGTTGATATCCCTCAGATGGCTTCTCTTTTCTGAAGAGAGATGGAAAAGAGTGTATACGGGGGAAATTGGAGCCGAGAGGACTGGGAGGAATGGAGGAAAGTGTGGCTATGGTCAGAATGTATTGCATGAGAAAGAAACAAATTAAAAAAAGAAAAATAAAAAATGTTAGGATGAAAACAAGCAAGCAAGCAAACAAACAAAATCCCGTAATGTATTAATTTACTGACATCATGTAGCAGAAACGAAACACAACAGTAACTAAGGGAAATTACAATACCTAGAAAAATAGAATTGAACATAGGCTGAAGAAGAAGGTGAAAAGATAAATTCTTCATAAGACTAGTTCTAGATGGGGTTTTAGTCATATAATCACACTCATGTGCCAATTTCACTGACATGATCAATAAATATGTGCGAATTGATTCCTGAAGAAAACTGATTTTTTCATAGATCAGTCCTTCGAATGTGAACATAAAGCTGATAATTGTTTTAAGATAGAAAAAAATTAAAGCAATTTACATGATTGGACATTGAAGAG